TGCACACCTGTGGATCAGGCAAACCTCTCTTAACCCCATATCACTCCATCAGTGACAGCAGAGATCTAAATAACCCCCATTAACTGCACACACTATAGTGTTACAAAACTTAAACTACATACAGTGGTCCCAGATAGTATTTGGATAAAGAAGACAGACTTAAAATGTCTAACTCTCACTGCATTAGATACAGCATATCCGATTGAATCTGTAAACACATGGTTGCTGGAGCCTTTCTCAGAACTAACTTTTTTTATATTGGTCAGTGACTTTTAATGAACTGTTCTGAAGTATGAATGTATGAAGTCAGTTCTCCTCATAGGTGTAGTTCATCAAATTAACTATATAATGTCCACTAAACCACAAAAGGTCACAATATGTTTTAATTTTGAACAATATATCTGTGGGTTTATCGTTTAAAACTGAAGAAACGTTTTGTGAAATATTATGCTTAAAGTGTGCTCATATATTTATTTAAAATAAAAATAAGTTTAAAGGAATATTCTGGATTCAGTAAAGTTAAACTCAATTGACAGTACTTGTGGCATAATGTTGATTACCACAAAAATAATTTGCACTTGTCCATCCTTTTCTTTCAAAAAAATCAGGTTACAATGAGGCGGGGCCAATTCGTAAACATCAAAATACTCACTGTTTCAGTAGTATATCCACAATACATAAACTATATGCATGTTAACGTGAAAAAGCACTTACCAACCTTCTCTGTGTAAAGTGTGGTTCAAATGTCTAAATACACATTTATACACTTGAATTGGCACTGATGAACACAGACAGATACTGTTTGGCACAGACATGTTACTGTGGCCAAAACAACAAACAAAAACAGAATTCATTGCAGTCTATGTACGTAAAGGTAGTGCACAATAGTCATGCTACGACATGACAATTCTGCATGCTGGCCAACACAAAATGTTTTGCTGAAGACAAGCAAATTTTCCCAGCATGGATTCTCATCCAAGTTTTCTAAACACGTTTTCATCATTTTATGTAAGACCTCTCACTTTATGTCATCATACAATGTCTTCTTGTTCATGCTAGAGTCCTTAAAGGGATAGTTCACCCAAAAATGAAAATTCTGTCATTAACTGCACACCTTGATGCCATTCCAAACCCATAAGACCTTTGTTCATGTTTGGAACACAAATTTAGATATGTTTGATGAAATCAGAGAGCTTTCTGATCCTGCATAGACTGCAACACAGCTGACATGTTCAAGGCCCAGAAAGGTAGTAAGGACATCGTTAAAATAGTCCATGTGACATAAGTGGTTCAACCGTAAAAAGTGAAAAAGTGAAAGTGAAGTGACATGTGGCCAAGTATGGTGACCCATACTCGGAATTTGTGCATTTAACCCATCCAAGTATATGGGATGAGAAGGAGAAGAATTGTTTAATAAAGTTGTTATTTTTGTTTTCTTTGCACACAAAAAGTATTCTTGTAGCTTCGTAAAATTATGGTTGAACCATTGATGTCACGTGGGCTATTTTACCGATGTCCTTGCTACATTTCTGTGCCTTGATCGTGGTAGTTCCCTTGCTTTCTATGGGAGGGTCAGAGAGCTCTCGGATTTCATCAAAAATATCTTAATTTGTGTTCCGAAGATGAACGAAGGTCTTACAGGTTTGGAATGACATGAGGGTGAGTAATTAATGGCAGAATTTTCATTTTTGGGTGAACTATCCCTTTAAGTTTGTGTTTGCCAATGCGGCCCATATCTTCTGTTTGCTGGAACCTGTAACACCGCTATGAGACATACAGATGGGATGGTGAGATGAAGTAACCCAGACAAGATAGTTGGATGTACAAAGAAAATATGGGACAATTTAGGGGAGGAGCGGATAGAGGCAGTGAAAGAATTCATAGGGATTGTTTTGAGAATTAATAATGTAGAGCGATGTATAAATAAATGTGGAGTGCTATTTCTTTCTTCAGAGTTTAGGAGAATGATTGTGGACAAGAAGATGGAGCAGGGAAGACAGAGGGAGCAGAGAGAGGGATCTGGATTCTGACTGAGTCAACATCAAAGCTGTACGATTCTCTTTTTTCCCTCTTTGGTCATATATGATTTCCTTCAGCGGCCTCAATGCGCACTTATAAGTCTTAAGGCTCAGTGTGTGGAACCCCTTAATAATACTGACCTGGATTTGGTTCACTGCCAGCTTTTGTTCTAATTACAGCTCAAGTGCACTCTCTGAGTTTCAGACTTTCTCTTACTTTAGAATAGAGAGACTTTCGAATTTTCAGTTACATGAATGTTTACGCTTTTCCTCAGAATGAGTTTAAGTACCATTTTCAGATTTTATTAAAATGATTTTTCACCCAACCTTGAACATTTTGTCATCCTCATGTGGAGGTCTCAAACTCCAAAAAGCACCATCAAACCACTATAAAAGTATCCATATGATTTGTGCGCTACATTCCAAGTTTTCTAAAGTTGGTAGCTTTGTGTGAAAAACAGACAACACTTGATCAGATTCACTGATAAAATATGATATGATAAATTATATTCTTGTAAATAGGGGAAGATTTTCAGTGGGTTACTCAAAAAGAAAAATATTTTGTCTTCATTCACCCTCATGTCATTCTAAACCTTTATGATTGTAGTTCTTGTGTAGAACACATTCTAGAAGAATGCTTCAACTGTTTTGAGTATGTGTGTGTTGATAAATATTTTGGTTTGATATGAAAGGCGTATATTTCTTATATCTTAAATAGATAAAACATTCTTTTTTTTGTCTTTCAAAGAAGAAAAAGTCAGGTTTGGAACAACATGAAGGTGAGTAAATTCCTTTAAATTTCAGTCGGTTCCTTACACAAAGTTATGCGTATAACTTCAAAAAACTTATATAGACCACAACAATGGTATTATTTTCTAAATGCCCTTGTCACAATATGATCATATGAAAAAAGCAGCCTGAACATTATGCTAAATATCTTCTTTTTGATTTACTAAAGAAAAGAGGTAATACAGGTTTTGAACAGCATCAGGGTATGACAGGATTTTAATTAATTTTTTTAAATGAACCATCCCTTTATTAGAGATCTTATTTAAAAACTGCTTTATTTTTGCACCTTTTATGTTGTATACTCATCCTCAGCCCTTATATTGTGGAAAAAAAGATAAATCTGTTTACATTAATCACCTTCAAGAACTATGAGCGCAGTCATGAATGAATGAATGTTGTGTTGTTATGGCCCAGTTTTGAGTATGGAATGGAATGGAATGATGGCAAGAGGCTGGGGAGACAGCTGGAGTGACAGACCTCCATTGCCCCTCGCTCTCTCTACACACACATACACACACTCACACACACACACACACACACACACACACACACACACACCCCTCCCTCCAGCAGCTGTTAGTTGAGGTGATGGAGGAGTGGTGATAACAGTAGAGGTTGTTAACAACCTGCATGCTGACACATTGGGTTGGAAGAAGTCCCTGTCCTAAAACAACACACAACCATCAACAACACCTCCTTCCAGAGCAATGTGAAACATTTTTCTCTCTCTCGTGGAGAGAGGTCTTTTTAAAATCTGGCCCCAGGAAAATCTCCTGGCCACTGACTTGCCAGAAAATTATAATTTAAATCATAAAATTATTTTGTTCATTGTTTAACATAGGCATACCTGACATCTGATTTATTTAATATTTCAATATTTAATGATACAATCCATCCGAAATTTCTACTGATTATAATTATTCGAAATCAGTATTATTCGTGTATTATCAACAAGGACCAGTGTTGGGGGTAACGTAAACACAAAAAACACAGATTCAGTATTCCTCAAAATGAATAAAAAATAATGCAACTCAGAATATGACGTAAACCTCCAATAATTAATGTTAATGTTAAACAACACAAATATCCTTTATGTATTTAATCCCATTCTATTAACCAATGTCTTTGCTTCTGACCTTCGATGATCCAGTTCAACTGTACTAATAAGCACAAATTACTCTAGACAAACATTTGTGTGTCTTTTTTTATTGCTGAAGTGTGTTGAAATGTCTTCTTCTGCATTCTACTGTACGGACGTACATTTACTTTCCCTTCAGCCTGAGGCTTATTCATTTCACTTTTGGTGTGAAAAGGCTTTTATATTTGCCAAAAATATAATTTTTTTATTTGAAAAACAAACAAGCAAGCCCTACCCAGATTTTAAAAGTAAAGCAAAAGTAACGTAACACATTACTTTCCCTAAAAAGTAACTAAGTAACGTAATTAGTTACTTTTTTATGGAGTAACGCAATATTGTAATGCATTACTTTTAAAAGTAACTTTCCCCAACACTGACAAGGACAAACACAAATATCACATAATCAATGATATAAAGACCTACAAAAGACCTGCACAAAAATACTGTGGTGGTACCATGTTATGTGATGGTATCAGATGGTAATTTATACCAAATATCAAATACACACTTAAAAATTAAGGTTCTTGGTTGACATCCATGGGTCCATTCCACAAAAAGTTCCTTATAGTGGAAAATAGTTCTTTGGATTATTAAACTGCTCTTCATTATAAGAAAAATATGGTTATTTTAAAAATAAATTATCTTAAAATTATTTGGGGAATCAAAAAATGGTTCTTCTACCTTTGTTTTTAAGAGTGTACCATCCATATAGGTATTTACATTAAACTCGAAATTACTTCAAATAATATGATGATATTATTTAGGTACATGTCCAAAAACGTGGTATTAACATGGTAACATGTCCAAAGCATCCTAGCAGGCCACTTTGTTGTTATTAGTACAACATAACAGAACAATAAGTCGTGTTATACTCTTTTACGCGCGGGTAAAACAAATCAAGATATAATAAGCGACCAAAAAATATGGTTTTACCCTTATTTTGCAGGGTGGAGAGCATTAATTGACTGTCCCAAATTTCCTCCCACTCGCAGCAGGACGGTACAATAGCGAACAGACAGGCAGCATTTGTGCAACTCGACTCCATCTCCCTCCCTCTCTCGCGCTCCTCCTGGCCAAAACTGCCGTGCTCCTCTCGTGCGCTTCATTCAGATGGATAACTTCAGGAACATGGCTATGCCAAACACTTCACTTTTACTTTTTGTTCTTCAAATGTGCGCTCTTGCTTGGCAAGGTAAGACAATTTCGCCCAATCTTTCTATGCGGTTCTGTGTGTTTTTTTTTTTTTTTTGTGGTTTAATTCTGTGAGAAACTTTTTGGAGCGTTTCGACCGCGCGCGTTTGAATGGGATGTACGGGGATGTTTGGGGATGCTGCAGTATACTGTAAGATGATGTGTTTAAACTGCGGTGTTTAAACAGTTCTTTGTGTAATAGAGGGATATCGACTGTTTAAAGTTACTTAGACTCCATTTTTGAAGCGTGTTCACCTTTTCGCTTCTGAAAAGAGTTGAGTTTGTTATCAAAACACACTGCACGTGAGCCCATAAATATGTTTAGCTTGTTCAAACGTAGACACATGTACGTTACTGCAAATACATATTTGTAAAGTAATACACTATTAAATACACTATCTGCATTTATACATGCAGACGTCCGTTTTGGAATTTCTCATATCCTTCCTTATATGTTCAATTTGCTGAAAATGTTACGTTAACTGTTAAAACTGGCATATATGCCTTGATAGAAAACAGCAGGTGGACTAAGTGCTTTGAAACAGACATACTGTACTAGAAAATGACATTTATTATACTATTTAGTCTACTAATTATCCTATTTTATCTAGTAAAGCAAAGCAAATATGTTTAACTAAGAAATATGTCAAACTGAGAGGTTTTATGTTCATAATTACATTTACATTTACATTTAGTCATTTTGCAGACGCTTTTCTACAGTCGCTGTGGCCGCCTTCTAATTAGCACAGCCAATAGTCTATAGCAGGCCAATTCCTCAAATCGAAACTACAGTTCGCACTTAAACGCAGGAAGGGAGCAATTAAATTACACGCGCTACTTCTTTGCCGAGGACAATTATTATAATTACCAGAAAGTGCAATCAAAAATACAAACGCAAACAAAAATATAACGTAGAAATAGGCAGACAACGAAATATTCCTTCATAGCAGAAAGTAATAATTCAAACATAATTAGCCAATTAGCTGTTGCCTCTGGTTGTATTGTTATGTCTGAAGTGGTTCAGATCATGAGACTGGTCACAAATACAGGCTTTGTGTGTCTGTGTTCAGATACAATCTGTGGAACTCTATTAAAGGGCGCTCAAAAATGTGATATGAGAGATTTTCACAGTGATAAGAAAGCTGTTCACAATGTGTAATATTCAGTTTTTAAATCATATTTTATTATATGTTTGTTGCCCTAAATTCTCAAAACAACCCTGATAATGCTTATATATGTGCAAATTGCCCTGCAGGTCTCATTCTGTGTTGCGCTCTCTTTAGTACATGACCTAGTCCTAGACAACTACTGAACTAGGCCTTCTCATTAGGGAACAGATGATGGACCCCCACTGCATAATCCTTTCCTTGTCCATCTCTCTCTATCCCCTGTTGTGTCGTACGTCTACTTTTATGTCTACCTTTCTACACTGTTTTTCCATCCTCATCCCTTTTTTCTCTTTCTCTCATAACATATTTTGCTCGATGTGGAGCAGGACTGTCCTGTAATGCTGGTTTCTCCAAAGGGTTTTAATAAGCCCTATCCTACCTTCTGTTCACCCTTGTGTTAGCAAGGTCCCTCCAGTTCCCTAGCAGATGAACCAAAGCTGTCTGTCCTGGGATTATTGACTGAACACCCCGTTAGATAACAGCCCCTATGATTAAGAGGGGTCACCTTGCTCTCTCAATGTAGGAGGTGATTTTTCATCCAAGAACTTGACATTGAAAGTGTCATCCTTACAAATGATACTGACTGTGATGTGGATGATAGAATATATACTTTAAAAAGGCTTTGAAAAGTGATTATTATTATTATTATTATTATTATTATTATTATTATTACTAGTATTATTTATTAGTAATTTTATTTTCCTTTTTATTTTCATTATGATTTTTTAAATGGTCACATTTGTGTAAATTGTGACACTAATAACTTAGGCTATATATTGTAATGAACCATATACGACCCAATATCAAAACAGTATCAAATAATAATAATAATGATAATAAAACTAGAGCATAATAATATAAGATATAATAAATCATATATATTTATATAATAGTAATAATTTTCATATACAACTTATGTAAATTTATTTCAAATACAAGACCCAATACTAAAACAGTTTAAAATAGTAATATAAAATTATTCATATTCATATTATTATATTAAAAATAATATTGCTGTTATTATATTATTCATCAAATTAACTGACATATACAGAATGACAATGGGAAATATCTTTATATCAAGGCCCTGCCAATCAAAAGTGAAAACCAGAGCTCGAATGAAAAATCCTAATAAAGGACATCCGCCAAAATATGCATTTTAGCCCAGATGTCCATACCCATTCCTTCAAGTTCATACGAGCAGCATTGTGTGCCAGCGACAAAAATGCTTTGCGTTAGACTTCCTGCTTCCCATAGCAGCCTGTGACCCACAGTGGAGGGAATACAATTGAGTGGCTGTTCCTGGTTTGAGGGGGTTTCTGTGCCCACAATCCTGGGTTGAGCCCCTGTCTGTCACTCTTGACAGTGAATGTCATGTAAAAGCCTGTGGGCTTATTGTTTTGGCTTGGAAGAAGGTGCAAATCAGTGAAGACCTCTATGTATGGATAATCTGCATTGTTGTTTTGGTGTTCAGCTTCAGTGAGCAACAACATGTGGATTAGATGAAGGTTGAGAGCCTTACACAATTGGATTAAGTTGTCATTATTTGCAGCTATGTGAGGCTGAGTAGTGTCGTTTATGCACAATTGTGTGTATTGGGTACCATGCAATATGAAACATCACTGATACCTATTGAATCTGACTGACAGGAAAGATGATCTTGAGTTTAAGTTAATCTCCTATCTAATCCTCTTACCAGCAGGGGGCAGAAAAAAGACAATTACCTGAACAAAACTAAACAATTGTTATTGATTGTAAACATGTAAGCATGCAACACATATGCATTATGTATGATTGTGTGCTGGAGGTCTTGAATTGTGCAGTTGCCTATTTTAGTCCCTCCATCCTTACCTCATATTCAACTTTACTGCATCATTGCTGCACAGATTCACCATTCAAAATTCAATTTGAAGCATGCAGTGCTGCATTTTAGTGAATAGCTGCAGACGATCTTGTCAGAATACATTCATTCAAAAAGACATTAATGTGTGTGCTTTTTAAACAGACTAAATGATTGGAGGAGTCCAGCATACATCACCAGAGAGAAGTGTGTTGTTTCACCAGAAGATCCAGATACGTCATTTTGATTAAAATTTAACATTTTAATCAACTGACATTTTTTTGAAAGATGAATCATTCACAACAAGATCATTAGGATGCATTTAGAAAATAGTGTGAACTTCCATTTCATTGTGACTTTAAAGGTGAAATGTGTCAATTCACTGCCACTAAATGCAATTGCAAAAATAATGTTTTTATTCAGGTTTTCTGAACATTCACACTAGCTTCCAGCACACAATGGAAAGAAAGCCCTGTATAATTAGGCTGTTTACCTTCTTAGTCTGTATTTGCATAATTTTGTTATTGCATTCTAAAACCATTAGGTCAAGTGCAACAGAAGGAAACATGTACTTTAAAAAAAACGAACTATGATGTTTTTTATTGTTTCCACAAAAAAAAAAAAAAACAATAATTAAGCAGTACAACTGTTTTAAACATGGATAGAATTAAGAAATGTTTCATGACCCCAAATCAGCATATTAGAATGATTTCTGAAGCATCATGTGACACTGAAGACTGGAGTAAAGACTGCTGAAAATTCAGCTTTGCCATTACAGGAATAAATTACTTTTTAAAATATATTCAAATAGAAAACCTTTATTTTAAATTGTAATAATATTTCACAATATTACAGTTTGTACTGTATTTTTGATCAAATAAGTGCAGCCTTTGTGAGCATAAGCGACTTCTTTCAAAAACATGTAAAAATCTTACCGGCCCTTTTGAATGTTAGTGTATACATTTAATATTATACAAGTAGGGAGTACATAAAAAGTACTTGGACACATCCAAACTAACACCAGTGAGTCACTGATATGGTATTTGTGTGGTTTATCTTGTGGTAAACCCCACAAATACACTGAAACAGGTTTTACACCTGTTTACAAAAGATTCATCCCAATGAGACAACTCAAGCATAATTCAGTATTAGATCTCTTTTGATCACATCCCTGAAGTCAAGGTTTTGATCCTTGTGCTAAGATTTCCCCGTAGTGATGAGCTGAGGCACAGGCTAGACGAGTGCACCGCGGGTCGCTCCTTGAAGTCACCCGCTTTGAGTTCAGCCAAAACAATGGCATGGCATTCCTCGGTTAAATGCACTCATATCTCTGGCTAGGAAGCAGAATGGGGGATGGTAGCTGGAGGTGTGCGTGTCTAAGATCCACAGGTGAGTTTACAGGGTTAGATCACTATCTGATGGAGATTGTGCTTATCAAAGCCTTTTGTGAGTTGACAATTGTGTCGTTGACAGGAAAAGGCTCGGTGTTTGTCATCTAGTCTTCATCTGACCTGTGTTTGAACAAGAGGATACCTTAAAAGCACTGACTGTTTCAAGAATGAAGAAAACTGTGTCTAGCCATTTTGAGAAGGAATCCAGCCTGGCTCAGTCTGGCTTGGCTGCTCCATATTTTTTGTTGGCTTAGATTTTAATATTAGTATGGTCTGGGAAGTCTGTCAAAAATTTGCTGTTGATATGAACTGACGAGGGCCGTCGGAGCTGCCAACGTGTTTTATGTTACTTCATTCAATGATCTGTGTAGATTCTTGTATTTTCAGGCAAGCTCTGTGTGGCACAACCTGCCATCGTAGTTGTGATCCAACTAAAGAATACATTTGTAAAGCCATGGTCTTATGTGGAATAAAGTGATGGCATGTTTATCAAAGTCAGATTTGGAGACTGACCACATTAATGAAGCATGAGAATGAATAACAATCATCCAAGTGCAACGAGGGGGGTGAAGAATTTACAGTGGACGGATGCCAGCTCTTT